AAAGAGTGTCTAGTGAGTGTCTAATGCAGAGGGTAAAATGTTTATTTTGCGCATTGATGTATGTGTACTGTTTGCTGGTTTTTGTGTGTTTCTGTGTATTTTTATTTTGGAGCTAATCTGGAAACTCAGGATTCACATAAGGGACATGCATATAATTCAAATGAGGGTCTCAACCTTAGTCATAGGCTAAGCAAATTCTTAATCTTTGTACTATCTTCCTTGCTTTTTGTTTGTTTGTTTGTTTTTATTTTTTGTTTTATCCACGTACTTTTTGAGATCTTTTATTATTATTATTATTTTTATTATTATTATTATTAATGAATCACTGTGAGATACAGTTATACATTTGTAAACTTTTATGATTACATTTCAGTCATACAGTGATCAAGTACCCATTCCTTCCACCAGTGCCCATTCTCTTCCCTGCTTTTATACATGTTTGCTGCCAGCAAGGTGCTAGGTACATAATAAGTTTTACATAATTGTTTGTAGAATAAAGGAAAAGTCATAAGAAGTTAGAAATACTCAAATACACTCAGGTATGTCCCAATAACTTGTTCCCATCTAATAAGTAAATAAGTAAATAAATAAAATAATAAAATAAATAAATAAAATCCAACATTACTGAAGCACATTTCATAAAAGGGAGTTTACCCAATAAAATAGAGTGGCAGTGTTAACTTGTACTGTAATGAGAGTCCACATCTAGCATTAACGCCAGTATAATTTTATATTTCAGGTGCCCTGTCTTATTAATTGATTAATTTTCATTTAGTCATAAAATTTACTTATTTATACATTATAATTTCTTATAATTATTTTTTGTTAACAAGCCTAATCCACTAGTCAAAAATTTAACAATGAAACTTAGTCATAAAAAGGATGCTTGTTTTTCTCTTCTCCACTTTCTCTGCTTTGTAAATGTTTTGCTTATAACAAATTACTTTTAATAATTACATATGAATTTTCAATTACTTGAAACATTAAAATCAATGGTTTGACTGCTTTACAGTTTCAGAACTTTTAGAGGCTTTGTAAAATATTCTTTAAGAGAGTACAGATTCTCTGGAGACCCAGAAAATAATTTATTTCTGTTATTACTAAGGACATTTCTATCTGCTTTAAGTCTGCTTATTCAGAACCCATTTCATAGTTCATTGGTATCAGCAACCTGGGAAAATTGGACTATGTAAACTTTATAGAGTAGGGGATAATATACCTGCACATATTTGGGGGGACCAATTGAACTAGGTTAGAACCTTAACAACCCTTTGATGTAGTTATCATGAATAAATTTTATTTTCCTCAAACTAGCATTAAAATTATTTATGTGCAGAAAGGTAGAAGATAGAAATATTCTAGTTACTTGAGTAGGGTGATGGGGTGAAGTAAGGTATAAATCTGAGTTTGAAAGCATATTAAATTATATACCTATATGTGGTGTTTTTTTCTGATAGAAATGTTTTAATTTCTCGAAATGTATTTTACTATTGAATTTTATAGCTATGTGAAAATTATATTTTTATTGAAACATGGAGAAATAGAAAGCTTGAAATCATTAGAAACTTCTTGACAATAAGAAACACTGTTGAATAGCATTGGTTTGTCCTTGCTCCTCCTACAGGGAGCTAAGGTTTATTGAGTTACACCCATTACAGTGCTCCTTAGGCACACCCAGTTCCATCAAGCACTCCTAATCCCATATTACTTTTCTCTTTCCTTTATGTCCTTTTCATGGTTTTGCAATATCCTTTTTGTGTAGACAAGGAAGACAGTTGATGCTACGCTTTTGTAAAATGGGATTTAATTGACTCCAAATAATATTTACTCCTGGGCATCCATCATATTTACCTGACTTAAGCCTTACTTGCCCTTACTTCCTAACACCCCCAAAAGGAGGGTCCCACGAAGGGACAGGATCGACCCTGGGCAAACTATTAGCTACCGTGGCATCGAAAAGAGACAGACTAAATACCATAAGAAGTATAACATTAAGAGCACAGTCAGGGAACAAATTCTGTCATGATCCAAAAAGAAGTTACTGAATAAGGACCTTACTGTCCTGAGGACTGTAGTATGGGATATATAGTGAGATGTCCCCAGGAAGAGTCGATCTTTAAGCCTAATTTATCTTTTACTGTGTTCATACAAAATGACTAGAAATAATAGTAAGAAGTAAATTTAATATGATTGTTTAAATGGATTGATTACTAGCTAAGGAAAGGAAAAAGCAATATATTCTTAGATGGAATCCCACCCTTATTAAGTGGAACTCCTAGTAATGTAAGGAACCCCCAGATGAGATTTTATCCTTGGGTTAGTCTACTTCTTCTGAAGGAAGAGCTTTACATCTGTTTATTGTTATGATGATTTTCTACCTATGTGTACACCCTCTCTTCACAATTTCTGTATAACTCTGTTGTGAGAGAAGAATAAAAGTAAAGTAAAGGCCCTCCCGTTGATCATCGATTTGCTCGAGCGGGCCCAGTAATGTCTCCATTGGAGCGTTTGTTGTTACTTGTGTCTGGCATATCGAATACTCTTGGTAGCTTGCCAGGCTCTCCGAGAGGGGCGGAGGAATCGAACTCAGGTTGGCCATGTTGGCTGCGTGCAAGGCAGACGCCCTGCCCGCTGTGCTAAACCATCACTAATTACCAACCAACCTGGGGCCTCATTCCTCGTTCCTTTGTTTGTCCTGCGCCATCTGTATTCTGGGTCACATCCACACTTTGAACTCATGAAACACTATTTCCAGTACACATTTTATTTGCATATTTGTGTAGTCCAATAGTTGGTTATGTTAATATGTTTTTAGATATTCTGCTTTTTACTTATCTTAATTTTCAGCTTTTTGTATCTAATATTATTTTCTTAAAGCATTGACGAAAACAATATTCAGGACAAGTGGTTGGTCTTTTTTTGGTTCCCCATTTTTCCTCCATTATCCTCTGATTTCCAGGTTTTATGACAACCAAAATTAGTTCAGGTGACATTTACTACAGATTATAAATATAATTTAAAGCTTAAGATTTATCCTGTCATACTCTTAAACTATACATTGTGACCACTGTCACTGTCACTGTCACTGTCCTCCCGTTGTTCATCGATTTGCTCGAGTGGGCCCAGTAGCATTGTGAGACTTGTTATTGCTTGGCATATTGAATACGTCATGGGTAGCTTGCCAGGCTTTGCTGTGCCTGCCTCTCTGAGAGGGGCAGAGGAAAATATATCACATAAATATATGAGATCACACTTTCTAATCCATTATGAAAGTCACTGGCACTCTCATTGCCCTTCTAAAGGTCAAGCCTTCAGGTGTATCAGAATAAATTGTGATATCACTGGCAAATATTTTACTTTAGTGAGAAAAATTTAGTCACGTGAAAATTGTTTATCAACAGACAATGTTGAGTAATTACTTTATGCCAGAAATTATACTGTTCCTTGAAGACATAGGTGAGTATTACTTTTATGTAATACAAAAATATCTAAAATATCATATGTTCTTAAAATGTAATTATTTTTAAAATGTAATTATAGTTTATATCCTCATGCAATTAGCTTCACATGATGATACCCATGCCTTCAAGACTCATTTATAAATTGTTAAATGTCTATTTAAAGAGAACCTACTCATGACTCCTTTACACATGATAAAGTTTTACATTGGTATATAGGTATACAAATAAAATATTTTGCATACCTAATAATATGGTTAATTATTTAATAATTTCATATTACTAATTTGTTATCAGTAACATAAAATATTTTCATATTTTTAATGCCACAGTTGGCTATCCTCAGGGTTTATACTCTGAAATCACTCCTGACAAGTTTGGGGAACCTTATATGGTGCTGGGTAATGAACGTGAGTCAGCCATGTGTAAGGCAAGAGCCCTTCACAATGCATATCATTTTCAACCTAAAGATAATTCTGAGATTTTTCATGACCCCTTTATTCAACTATGCATCTCCATATGGGTAGTAACCCACAATTTATAGGTGTAGGATCTGAAAAATGATTATGATAAGTGAACAGTGCTCAAGAATATCTTCAATGCATTTGTGTAGTCAAAATTAAAAATCAGTTAATGCACACACATATTAAATACACACGCCCTAATTTTAGCCTAATTTTAGAAACTTTCATTTTCATTAAAAATAATTTTCCTGAACGAATGTGTTTGAATTATATAGATCACCAAATTACTAATCTCAGATTATTATTATTATTATTCATTCTGATTATTATTATTATTCATTCTAAGATTTCTTTGGTCTTTGGAAGTTAGTGTTGTTGTGCTTAACCCTGATTTTACATAAAATATAATGCTCTTTCAAAAATACAAAATGTATAGAACTTACAAAATATGTTTTTTTCTCAAATTATAAATTTTTATCTACATATTCAAAGTTCATACATTACTCAGTGTCTTTTTACTCCCTGAATTAAAGAATGTATTTGTATCTGATAAGTGAATTATATAATATATAGTTGTATATTCATGTATATACTTATATACATCATGCCAGATCCTTGTCATGTATAAGATGTTTTGTTATGAAATAATGTTAGATTTTTTAACTAACTATAAGATAGCATCATGTCAATTTTAAAGATATAATTGTGAATTTATATATATTGATTCTATAATCAAAAATATAATTATAAATGTAGAACTATAGAGGCATGCATGTAAGGATTAGACTATTTAGAATTTAAACGTCTATTTTTCCTTACTTTGGAATTTTGGACACTAGTGGTCACTTTAAGAATATGATATCTTCTTACACAGATAAAGATGACAGCAAAAAATAATTCCGGCATGGTTAAAGTAATCCTCTCCACAGCAGCAATTCACAATTGTGTGCTATATATAGAATTAGGATCTGTCATTGTTTGCAGCCCGCTAAATAAAACCTAACTCTTGGAATGGCATGCCACTTGACCTTTCCAGGTCTCACCAACAGTATTTAACTGGCGCAAAGAAAGCACACTTACAAGTATCTCCTATTGTCATGACAGATTCTCCTGGTATTTCACACAATGTTCAAAAGGGACAAGTCCCTTGTTTCAGAATCCAAGAGAGAATTATTTTCCCAAGGAGCTACACGATCCGTACCAAGGAATGATATGAAAAATTTTCACTCTATGTCGCAGTTTGTACTTTCAGCAGGCCCTCTAAAATCAACTCCAACAGTTAAACTTTCAAAAACTACTCACTTTGAGATTGAAATATTTGATGCTCAAACAGGAAAGCTGATATGTGTTGTGGATAAGGTGAGTTTTATTTATGTATTTAAATTTTTCTCATGTTCCCCAAAGATTACTGATTTCTTATTTTAACACTGACTACTGATTTCAGTAACAAAGATTACTGATTTCTTGTTTCAAAAAGCCAAGATCATTTTTTAAAAATATCTGTCTTATTTAAATGCTAATTTTATTGTGAATTGGAAACTTTATAGATTGTTTCAGTAAATGGCAGCTAATGATCATTAGGTTCTGGTTTTCTTGTTAACACTGACCATTAACAGGAGATAAAATATCTAGGGCAAAGTTAGTCAAAATCATACTTACCATATATGATCAAGTAAATGCATTAAAATAATTAAAATTTACTTTATTGGTCCTGAAGAACACGTTTCACTAGTAAGAATAGTTTATTAACTGGAGAACAATTGTGTTCAATTTTTTTAAGTGCCTTAGTTAACATTTTAATAATTTATATTACATGTTTTTCACTAATAAAAGATTATATATGCACTCCTTTAATTAGAAAAGAAGTGACCAAAAAAGATTGTTTGCTGCTTTTTTATTTCCAAGAGGATCATTATAGTCTTATTTGGTAATATATTAAAATAATTATATGATCATAGGATCTATATTATTTACAATAGAAATGAAAATTTAAGAAAATTAATTATAAATTCCATGCTTGTGTGTAATACATCACTAAGATTTGGGATTCTTTCAAGACAATCAATAAAAATAAATCACATCAGAAGTTGCTTATCTATCTTGATATATTTAACTACAAAATATCCAAAACATAAAAAATAAATTAAAGCAGCAAAACAAGATTATTAATGCTGGATATTAAATTGGGCTAGGAACTTCAAAGATCAAGATTCTAAAATAAGAATGCTATTGTGATCTTTCTGATAGTATTTAAACCTTATCACAAAATCCACATTAAAGTAATGAGAAATCTATGGGGTTCTGATTGTTTTTCTTAAACATTTAAATGTTCTGGTCTTAAGATTATATTAAAATAAGGACACAGAGTTTTATATTTTTAGTATTAAGTAGAACAAGAATCTAGCATTTTGTGAGCTAGCATGATTTTGAGATAAGCTTTTCATTTAGGGAACTCATATTTGAATTGTGAGAATTCTGGTATTTGCATCTCAAGTGGTAAACCTTTTGAGGCATTTAGTAGGCCAAAGGGGGATTAACTTTGTTTAAAAACAATGTTCTCACCATCCCTTACTGTGCAATCAATGCTGTATGATATAAAACTTGCTAAATTCAAATTGTTATCTTGTCACTTGATTTTAATTTTGTTTATCTTTTTCAGTTTGATAACTTAAAACTAAAATAAACTTGGTTTAATGTACATATCTCTTCATGATTCTAGCAGTTCATGTCTATTAACATGAGAAAGATTGATTCTATTTGCTAGTCAATAGGTTCTTTTCCTCTGACAAATTAACATATATACAGTAAGTTCTTGCTGTAGTTTTTAATTGTATGTGACAATACCTAGATTACAAGAGAAGTGCTGTACAATTAAGTTCCTTTTTTTTTCTGTATGTACTATGGCCATAAAACATTAAAAATTTGGAATTAATCACAGTTGCATCGAATTCCTGCTACAACAATAATTTATATGAAGACTCTTTATTGGATCACCAATCTTTAGAACCCTTATTTAGAATAAATGTTAGTAAAATCTATTTTGCAGTCATATAGGGAAGGGTAAACATAGTGTATGTATATGTAATATAGTATAGTATATGTAAAATACTATGTAATGTACTATAACATAGTACATTTTTTAAAATAGGTGTTAGGTATTGAGTGTCTTGCACATGATAGGAGTAATGTGGGGATTATAATTATATGAAACTACATACAATCTGAGTAAACATACTGATAAAAAGTATAAGCCTTATGGTATTGAAGAAGAATTTAAATTTGACTTATTGATGATTATGTACTGATGTGATCTGTTCACATTTGTTATATATGATTGAATATAAATTTTTGAATAACATAAGAGGGCTGGAGAGACAGCACAGTGGTAGGGCATTTGCCTTGTAGGCGGCCGGCCCAGCCGAGCCAGGTTCAATTCCTCCACCCCTCTTAGAGAACCTGGCAAGATACCAAGATTATCTTGCCTGCACGGCAAAGTCTGGCAAGCTCCCCATGATGTATTTGATGTGCCAAGCACAGTAATAGCAGGTCTCTCAATGGAGACTTTACTGGGCCCGCTAGAGCAAATCGATGAACAACGGGAGGACAGTGCTACAATATCTTAGAAGTTATAGTAAATTCTAGTAATTTTTTTCTTCTAGGTATTATTACTTTAATTTCAAAATAAAAAATAAATTCATGATACTATAAGACTTATATGGGGCCAGAGAGATCATAAAGTGGGTAGCATTCTTGCCTTGCATGCAGCCTACCCAAGTTGCATCCCCTTTATCCCATAAGGTTCTCCCAACACTGTCAGGAGTAATTTCTGAGTGCAGACCCAGGAGTAATTCCCGAGCATTGCCATCTGTGACACACAAACAAAGCACAAACAATTATAAGACAAATATACTGATAAAGTCCAAAGATTAAAGAAAATATAAAGAAACATATTCTGTTATATAATCATACACATGTACAACATAAAACTTAAACTTTATTTTTCCCTTTCTATTTTCTCACTATTTTGTTTCAAATCTTTCGTTTCTTTCAGTAAGTGTTCATTATTTCTACCTTTACTTTCTCTTTTCATTATACTCTAAACCCACTACTTAATTTCATTATCTTTCAGAGTAAGGAGTTGTTGAGCTAACCAAACAGGAAGCAGTAAATACCTTGTTACAACTGAAGGTCATTTTATGATTATCTTATTTAATGTGTCTGCAACAATTAGCAGCATTAAGCATATCACCTTCTTTAAAAATTTCTGCTATTGAGTTCAACAGTAAAAGTACGTTTTTAAAAACTTGCTTCATTGTCTTCTCTCTTTCCTCTTGCTTCTTTTTATCTGACTTGTCAGATATTGACAGTCACCAGTCATCAGAACTTTTACACACCATTTGCCATTATTTCCTTTCTGAGTCCACTAATTTTAGATATCATCTGCCTAATGATGACTACTGAATATATTACTGGAGTTTAAACTTTTCCATGAGCTGCAAACATATTTAATTTTATCTCCATATATGTAACTCACTCTAGATCTATTTGGATACTTTAAATCTCAAACTCAACATTATTGTATTTAAAACTGAGTCCTTGGTCTCCACCCAAAATTCACCAATTTTTCAAGGCAATGAGTGGGAACCACATCCCTCAAATAGTTCAAAACAAACACTTAGAAGCATCATGACTCATCTCTTAATCTAACACCCCACATACAATCTATCTTCCCAGACATATATTTAGAATTATCCAAACTCTGATAAATTTTATCACCTCTACTGCCAACAATTTTGTCTTTCCTCAGAATATTCCTACATAATAACCAGAAGAAGCCTGTTAAAGAGTGTGAAATAATAGCTCTTCTAATTCAAAACTATTATGTCTTACTTTATGTTTTCATTCAATAATGACTTTTTTTCCTTGAGGCCTTTCTTGACTCTCTATTTAGAATTGCTAAGTCAACCAATATTATCTGGCATATTTTCTACTTCCATTTTATTATTAATACTACTAACATCTAATATACTCCATATTTTCCTTTAAAATAATTTTACTATTTGGTTTGATTACAATATTGTAGTTTCATAAAATCAAGAATTCCATTTATTTTCAATTTTATTTAGTTCCAACATTTAACCAAGGTCATAACACAAATAAATTATTTTAGCTAACATATAACAAATAAGTAAATGCCTGCTTATATGGGTTTTTCAGATCGTTTATGTTTAGCAGTGATAGAGTTCAGGTAGAGGAATATACTATCAAAAATGATTTCTGGGTCCAGAGAGATAGTACAGTGGGCAGAACAGTTGAGCTCTGTTAGAAGGGCAAAAGTAAGCCTTGAGCATAGCCAAGTATTACCCAACTATCTACTAACATCAAAATAATGTCAAGGTCCAGAGAGATACTATAGAAAGGACAGTGGTTAATTTGCACATTGCTAACCTGGGTTCAAAACCCTGATATTATATATGGTCCTTTAAGCATTTCTGGATGAATCCTGAGCACAGTGTCATGAAAAGCACTTGAGCACCATGAGTGTGGCTCCAAATTAAAAAAGGTGTTCTCAATGTTTTCTATATCATTGCAACCGTTAAGACTGTAATAAGTGAAAGTTACTCACAGGAAAAGACATCTACTTAAACTAGTCCAGTGAAAGTCCAAATACCTCCTGGTCGCACCCATCAAAGATGTACAGAATTTAAGTTCATATTAGTATATAATTTAGTAACAGTCAAAGTTTTGTCTTTCAATAAAGAAAATGCAAACTGGGGTAAATATTGTCTAACTTATTATTTATGAAAAATTAAAGCAATATGGCTAGCTTAAGATGATAAAAAGGAGAGTAGTTTTAAAATATATTTTAAATATCATTTATCAGAATGAAAAAGTATATAAAATAAAGTAAAATGCAATAACAATTGAAAAAATTATTTCTAATTACTATCACTGTATTACTTCCATGTTTCAAAATGATAGAAACTTATATTGTGCTAAATCAATGATTCAAGATCACTGTCAAAAATTCTAAAGAAGCAATAAATATTTCCCTACCACCCTATCCTTTCTTCTTTAAACTTTATCTAAGAAACTTGACCCCAGGCATTATTTCTTCTATAGACTTATTTTATTCTGTGCCAAAAACTCTCAAAAAAACGTTATCAACCCTTATTACAACTAAATCAGTCAATCATTCTTTAATTCTTCTAATGGTAAAAATACGTCTTTTCACCAGAGAACAGTAGAGAGATTTATAAGGCAATAAAACTGCATAAAAATTGCACTTTTAATACTTTAGCTAGGAATTTTGAGAAAGTCTTTGTTTCTGATGTTGCCGATCTTAATATTTTACCTTG